GAAGAGCCAGTATCTTCATAAATTATTTGGAATTTCTTCTGTATGTGAAATTTATCTTTTCATTCTCAAATCCTACCATTTTTAATTCAGGCAAGAGGATTTTTAAAGTGTCCTTGGGTTTGTTTGTTTTTTTTTTTTTTCTCTCCACTAGAAAAAAATTACTGATTTGAATTGGTTTACTTGAAAGTTTTTTCATTTTCTTTGANAGGAAGCTTACTCTCTCATTAGCTAGGCTGTGACAGTAGAGAAATAGTCATTTCTTTCCACATTGGAATTTTTTTTTTTTCTTTTTTGTCTTTTTTCGTGACTGGTAACGGGATCGCAACCCTCGGTGTCGCGCCCGCACCACGCTCAACCAGTGAGCGGACCAGTCTCCATATGGTATCCGAACCCTTGGCAGGAGGGCCGCTGCACTCCCAAGCGCCGCACTCTACCGAGTGCGCCGCCGGGCCGGCCCCACATTGGAATTTTCTGAATGCATTTTCCTAGAACAGCATTATTGTAACTGGTATTTAGATACTGTACTAATAATGAGATACCATGTATGATTTTGTGGACTCGTCTGAAAATCCCATCACTATTTATAACATTTGAAAGGAGAAATGTATTTGGGGTTCCAAAGAAATGTAGTAGTATTTTTTTTTTAATTAGTTACTGCTTAGATTTTATTACACTGTAAATTTAGAGTTGTTTTCAGGGATGATTTAGTTTTTGCCCTTTTAGAGAGATGTTAGCTGTTATTTCTCTTGTCTCTTGTGCATTTTGCTCCAGCAGTCTTCTCTTCCCTTCCCTTTCAGATGTATGATCACTGTTTATAGTGGCCTGGGAAAATTAAACGATCTAACTCATGAGAAGTATTTCTTCTTCTTCTTTCTTTGTTTTCTAAATGCCCTGTTTATTTGGCAGACAAGGTTCAGAAATGTACAGACACAATTTGTAGGCTGAGAAATCTCTGTGGAGTTGTTACTTCACAGCTACACTTTACAAAAGCAGTAATGACAGCTTCTCGGCACATTAACCAGTCATTTTTTGTTTGAAGTGAACACAGTGAGAATGGATTATAAGGCCTATTTCTCTAACTCACCATCAACTTCTTTTGCTCTAATCTTTAAGAACAAGTGGAGCCTTCACTTGATCAGCCACCTCCTTGCTGCTCAGCACCTCGACAGTAGCAAGAACAAACTCAAAGCAGGTCCCAGAACCTCGGCTTGTAAGAATCAGGCCGTCCTTTTCCACACGATTCTGAATGGCTGTAATGACTTCCATTTATCGTTTTGTTTTTAGCAAGTGGGTGTGTTGTAACTGCTTTCAAAATCTATTTCTTGGGGCCGGCCCAGTGGCACACTGCTGCAGTGCGCTGCTTGGGAAGCGCGGCGGCGCTCCCACCGAGGGTTCAGATCCCACATACAGACCGGCCGCTCACTGGCTGAGCGAGGTGCGGGAGCAACACCGAGGGTTGCGATCCCGTAGCCGGTCCCGGTCCGGTACGGGTGCAACACTGAGGGTTGCGATCCGTTGCCGGTCATGAAAAAAGACCAAAAAAGGAAAAAAACAAAACAAAACAAAACACCAACCTATTTCTTGAGCCAGCAGAGCAGTAGGACCTGCACAGATGGCAGCTATGAGGCCCTTCATGTTTTTTTGTTCCTTCAGTGTCTCTTTCACAGCAGAAGACTCAGATAAATTCTGTGCACACAGATTACCTCCTGGAGAACCACCACATTATATGGTCCCTGCTTTTTTGCATCTTCAGCACAGGCATCAGGACGAATGACAACATCACGGCTACACTGTACTGGGTCTTTTCCAGCCAGACCTGCAATGGTGACCTTAATCCCAACTCGTCTCATGACATCTACAGGGATGACTGTCTCCATTTCCTCTGCTCCCTTAGCCAGGATGACCAGAGCTCTTTTTGATGCTCTGGTAATATTTTTATGTCATGTTTTTTAAAGACCCAAACCTGACTGAAAGGGACCACAAGCCCAGAAGTATTTCTAAACTCAGCCAATAGCCAACTTTGAATAAGATTTGAAAGATGTTTTCTGGTGAATGAAAGAGGCATATCTTAGTACAAAGATTATGCCTTTAAATTTGTTTCCTCAGAGTCTTTTGGAATAATCATTGTTTCTAGACCTCATTTTGGCTATTTTGTGTTATGAAATAAATGATTTTAGGTAAATAAGCATTAGTATAGTATGAAATATTAGCCATTTCTGTTGTTAAAGTTGTATTCATTTTGTAAGATTGGTGCTCATTTAATAGATATATAAACATGTCTGTAGCTGCAAGGTATATTTACCTTAGTGCCTTTGTCTATCGAGACTATTTATGAAGTTTCGCCACCAGTTAAATTTGAAATTCTTTCTAACCTTTTCTTTTTTTTAATCCTGTGAATTCATTATGCTGAGTCAAACCATTATTAAACTGTCACTTGGTTATGATTTTTCATCGTTATATTAGGAAATACATATATTTATTAATAAAATGTTCAACATCAAATTTAAATTTATTTCTCTCTCTTCTAGGTAAAGAGTAGAGTTTATCAAGGTAAAATTTTAGACTTATTTTGTCTTTTGTACTGTTTCCTCTGTATTGGTGTTTGTTATCAGTTTTATAGAAGCCAGAAGTAGATATAATGACTACTTATGTCTGACTGACTTATTAGCTCCCGACAGTTTTCGTTTTCCTGGGTTGCTAGGTTGGATGATGGAGTAGATGGTGGTGATACCAATGGATAGGAGATGAGGAAGAATAAATTGTGGGAGTAGAGAGAAGATGATTAGTTTAATTTGGGGCAGCCTGAATTTAAATGTTGATGCAATGCAGATTTATTACAGGTGAACAGCGTTCCTGTGCCAATGATTTAATCAATACATGAAATATTTATTAAACTAGATAAGTTGAGGAATAGAAATATCAATCAATATATTTGCATTTTCTTTCTGTTTCTCTTTTTAAATGACATGTATTTGAAGGGATCCTATTTTCCGAGAAGAAATGTGCTTCATGCAGAGAGGAACTTCAAGCTATAACGTTTTACTGTATTTCCCATTTTTGAAATATATTTAAACTAGAATCTCATTTAAATAAGGATTCTATTATAATATTTTTCTTAAATTTTAATAATATTTTTATATCCTTATTGCTGTTAACTACAGATTGCTCTTTAAAAAATCATAAAAGTTTTGAAAAGAAGTTCTTTTTCCTCATAGTGCCAAATCACATGTCTTTGCTGCTAATACATTGGGTAACAATTTTATTTAGTGACTTATTGATTTTTGCCCCCTTTTTAGTCACTGAACACCAAATTTCTGACAAGGTGAAAAACATCACAAGAGAAAATCAAGAACTTGTACAAAAGCTGTCAGATTACGAACAAAAGGTATAATGATTTTTTTAGTTTTGTTCCCCATTGTTCCTGCTTGAATTATTTCTGCCTGTTTTATAGTTACTATAAATTTAGTTATTATACTATTGTTAAATCATATTTTCTTATTATTTCCTACCAACCATTCAGATCTAAGCAGTCATATGTGTAAAGCACTGCTTCCTTCTGTAAGGGGTCGCTTATTTGGAAATATGTTTTGGTAGAACTATAATTTATATTTTTGAATTCTGAATGCTTTATTTTATATAGATCAAGGAATCAAAGAAATATATTCAAGAAACCAAGAAACAAAATATGATTCTTCGTGATGAAGCAATTAAATATATGGTAAAATTCCCTTCTTGGGATTACATTCTGGAAACAAAAGTAAAAGTAATGAGTAGTTATTACTAATCTTAATATATTTTTTGGTAGGATAAAATCAAGACACTTGAAAAAACTAATGAAATTCTGGATGACACAGCTAAAAGTCTTCGTGTTATGTTAGAATCTGAGAGAGAACATACTGTCAGGAATCAGGACTTGGTAAGAGTTTTGCTGCTAAGTGTTACTGTAGTTTGGCTTTTGAAAGATTTTGTGTACTGCATGAGTTGAACACGGCATTTTCCATGCTGTTATGTAAAGTAAGAGTGGGAGTCAGAGAAGTTGAACCTACTTCTGTCCACTTTTGTAGAATTGTAAGTACTAATATAACTTAAAGTGGTTTTATGGAAGTATTTTTGTCCTCAGCTCTGGGTAATTTTCATATTTCTTGGTTCTGTCCTCTGAAACATGTAGAGCAACTAAGAAACTGTAACTGTGATAACTGTAACAGTCCTTATATTTTGTTTTGTAAGTTCTTTTTCAGTAAACTTTTAACTTTAGTTTTAGAATTATATGAAAGTTGCAAAGACAGTAGAGAGGGTTCCTGTATGTCATACACGCAGTTGAGCTTGACCACCTAGCAAAGGTCGTCTTGCCAGGTTTTTCCGCTGTAAAATTACTCTTTTTCCACTTTTTATATACTGCACTCTTTGGAAGGAAGTTGCTATGCATAACCCACTGTCCAAGAGGGGAGAGTTATGTCCCACCTCCTTGAAGAGCCAGTATATTCATAAATTATTTGGAATTTCTTCTGTATGTGAAATTTATCTTTTCTCCCTCAAATCCTGCCATTTTTAATTCAGGCAAGAGAATTTTTAAAGTGTCCTTGGGTTTTTTTTTTTCTCTACCACTAGAAAAAAATTACTGATTTGAATTGGTTTACTTGAAAGTTTTTTCATTTTCTTTGCTTTTGCCTTTCTGTATGGTCATCTACTACATTATCTCATAACCATGAAGGTTGTTGATGTCATGAAATATTTGTGCTCTCAATTATGTTTCCTCTTTAAGGTTTTGATTTTTCCCCTGTGCCAAAACTGGTTCACATGCTTTTACCTGATACATACAGGATGGCACTGGGATATGTTTTGTTATTGTTTCTTCTTTTTGGCATATATCCTGATGTTTCTACTAAAATCCTAATACATGTTTTGTGTTCTGTTTCCACATGGCAGATATTAGAAAACATGAAATCTATAGAGAAGTTAAACAATGTTATCTCCATGAATGCTTCAGAATTTTCAGAGGTAAAGCTGACTACAATTCCTACAGAATAGTTATACTATGTTTCAGTTTTGTTGAGCAAAAATTTGATGTGTGCTTAAAATATGCAGAAAATGAAAACTACATTATTTCTGATTGGCAGAGTGTAACGTGTTTGTCCTTTGTAATTCATTCACTAATAGGAATGTTTTAACATTAGGTTCAAATTGCTCTTAATGAAGGTAAGCCTAGTGAAGAGAAGGTGAAGTCTGAATGCCATCGGGTTCAAGAAGAAAATGCTAGGCTTAAGAAGAATAAAGAGCAGGTAAAAAAAAAAAAAAAACAGATATCCTAGGTCATATAAACTAGACAACCAAATACCATTACCTCGTGAATATTTTTTCTCAGATTGGCTTTTAAGGTAATGAAATGAGCATGCAGAATTCTGTACTTAGATATGCAAAGTTTAAACTGTGCTTCCAGAACTGAGTGCATGTCCACATTCTTATCTGTTCTGGAGTTGCTGTTCTTCTGTACAAGTTATTGTAGCTGTCAGAGTGTTTAGTCTTTGTCTTATCAAACATGAACCAACTACTACCTTGAGTAGCTTCAAAGGTGAAATAGATTGGCTTTTTAGGCCAAAGAAGTAGGTATTTTTTACCCCTTGTTTGAGTAGTTAACTGCTTCATTGGCCAAGGGAAGGTTACATGATCAGGAGTCTGGACTTGGGAGATGATAGGACATGCTCTTCCATTCCTACTGGAAGTGAGTTATTTGAATTGGCTGCAATTTTCTGAAGGATGCAGTGAACTGGATCAACTTCCTTGACAGATCTGGTGTTCACGCTATAGCTCTGAGCATTAAGACCACTCTGCCCTCTCCCTCAGCAAGGGTCTTAACCCATAGTGACAGGTCAGGGAGGGGCTTAGTTTCTTACTTCCCAGTCTCATTCACATTGTTCTCATGTCTTCAGTGCAAAAGCTCTAACCTGTAGGAATTGATATGTTTTGACTTTTCAGTTGCAGCAGGAAATCAGAGACTGGAATAAATCACATGCTGAACTCAGTGAGCAAATCAAATCATTTAAGAAGTCTCAGAAAGATTTAGAAGTAGCTCTTACTCAGAAAGACGATAATATTAATGTAAGTTCGTTCTCATGAATACATGCTTAATTCTCATGAATTCTCATGAAACATGCTGAATTAAAATTGAGAGACTCTTACGGATCCCCTTTTGCTTCTTTTCTAGGCTTTGACTAATTGCATTACACAGTTGAATCAGTTAGAGTATGAGTCTGAATCTGAGAGTCAAAATAAAAGAGGAAATGAGTCAGATGAATTAGAAAATGGAGAGGTGGGAGGTAAGATCAGTCTCAGGAGGTTGGACCCCTTGTTGCCTTCCTGTCTTTATTTTAGTACACTGATGCTGCTTCTCAGCTGGCAGAATTTCCTCTTCAGCTTTAGAGTAGTAGACACATATCATTGGATTTCTATATATGTCTGCTTGCATTGGGCAGAGGTGGTTTGCTGGGGTGTGATATAGCAATTGGCATGCAAAGAACACTGAAGTTTTTTTTTCCATCTCATTGAGAACTAGTAAATATGCACTGGAACTGTACTGGTCATGTTTTATACCTCTAAGTATTGAACACATGCAACAGGAGAAACTTGTTTCTCAGCTTCATAGTGACGGCTTATGATTTTAATACTCATCTCTGTAGCTGTGTGGTTTTAAGGCTTACAACCAGTTTTAAGAGTACTGAGGTGGTTGGAGCCAAAAACTGGGCTGTGAGAGTGGAGGCTACAGGGTAGCAGTGTTTACTGATGAGGAAAATGTTTCTAAATACAGTCTCCCAAGTTAGCTATTGGTTGCATTAGTGGGTGTTTTAAACCACATCTGGTAACAGATTCTGGGGGAAAACAGAGGAGTGACTCTTTCTAAAATAAGACACTTACCCGAGCAGAGATCTGAGAGAGAAGACAGAGCTTCATCTCAGATATTTCTTCTTGCTCAAAAACAGCATGGGTAACATTTTTATTGTACAAACTTGGAATTTACTTTTTAAATTATATTTGTAATTCTCTTAAAAGTCAATTAGTCTCGTTAGTTCTGTTGGCTAATTTGTTTTTTTCTTTTAGTATTTAAACACGATAATTGTTACTTTTGGGGAAGTCAAGAAAATATAGAGTAGAAAAAGCAATTAAAGCCTTCTGTTTTTTTAGGTAACCGGAGTGAGAAAATGAAAGATCGAATTAAGCAGATGATGGACACTTCACGGGTATAATCCTTTTTGTAGAGTCACATAAGTTCTTGTGAATTCTTATGATGACTTACTTTTAAGAATACTTCTCTCTTCTGCACGTTTTAGACACAAACTACAATATCAGTACTTGAAGAGGATCTAAAACTCTTTCAATTTAAGCTAAGAGCCTGGATATCCACAAAATGTAACCTGCAAGTTAGGTTGCTTCTTGAAAAGGAAGCACCACATATTGGAAAGATACAAAATATCATTGGGAAGACGAGGAATGGCTTTCTGCTTTGTTCTTCTCACCCCTGTCGGCACCGCCTTCTCAACCACGTTCTGAAGTCCTTGTGCACACACATAGAGCTCAACTGTTTTATCCTTTACAGATGAAATAAAGCAACTAGAAAAGGACCGCATTTCACTGCAGTCTGCCAAAGCTGGACTGGAGGATGAATGTAAAACCCTGAGGCAGAAAGTGGAGATTTTGAGTGAACTATACCAGCAGAACGAGATGGCTCTGCAAAAGTAAGATGTTCACTGTTAGTTGTTAACACAGTTATGACTAAATATGTATACTAATGTAGATAACTTTATCTTAAAGATTATTTACGGTTTTTTCCATCTGTGGTTGGTATGTGTTGTCTGTCCTTCTTTCCGTTTTGTTTCCCATAACTTGCATTTTTCTTTCTGTTCTGACCAGTCGTCAGCAATTGTTGCCTGTAATTCATGTGAGGGGCGTGGTTTACTGGTAGCAGCGGTCGCTGCTACACACGTGCTTCTTTTCTGAAGATGCACACCCTGTCTGTAGTCCACCACTTACTCCATTTGCCTTTCTTTGTGGTCAGTTATGTAATTCTGATTAGTCTTACATTTGTCTTACTAGCTCTTGATATAGTCTCTTCAAATTCCAGGTGACTTGTATGACATGTTTTTTAGTAGAATAAGAACTTCAAAAGAAATATTTAGTTATTGAACGTATAGGACTTAATATAATCAAATATTCAGACTAATCATGATGTACTTATGGTAAGGATGTTAGGAGTTTTGGATACAGAAATATCTGTTTGGTGTTTATATTTAGGTATTAATCTTTTGAAATATACATCTCAAATTTGGAGCTAACTATCTCTCGAAAGATGTATTTTTGTAGTATATTTTGAGGTTTTTCTCCACAAAACTATTTGAATTCCTAAAAATAGCTTGTCTGTGGCATTGCTGTTTGTGTTTAGTCTTATACTTTACTCAGTCTGGGAGAAGGCCTGTATTGCTGAATAAAGCTCACCTCTTAAAAAATGCTTGTACTGCCTGATGCCATTAAACACTGAAACCACACCATTAACTTTTCTCTAATTCTGCACTCATCAAGCAGCCAGTTTAGATTTCCAAATTTTGTTCAGGCCAGCTCTAACAACCTGGCCCACTTGAGAGAAACATTCCTCTTTTTATTACCTTTTCTAAGAATAATCATGTCTCTGACCTAATAGTAGTGTGAATCATGTAAGTGACAGTTTTTCTTCAGGACTCGGGCACTGTGGCTCTATTTTATTCAGCTCCTCCAGCCTCCTTTCAGTCACCATGTCTGGTTTGTATTCTACTGTCCTCTCCCAAAGTCACTGTGTTAGTTCAGGCACATGTCATCTTTTCTGCCAGTCCCCTAACTAATCACCTGTGTTCAGCCTCCCTTTCTTATGCAACTTCTTCCACACTCTGATTTTCTTGAAGCTGCAAGAGTGAACATTCTAAAATATAAGTCTGTCCATTTCATTACGTGCTTAAACTCTGTCAAGGATACCCCATTCTCTTCAGTATCCATGTTGGACTCCTCAGCAGGTATAGAGGGTGCTCCCCTTACATGGTCCCGAGCTGCCTCTCCAGGTCCATTTCCTGTAGCTCCTTCTGATCCTTCCTGACTTACAGCCACACACAGTACAGTCCCTTCATACCACTCCACGCCTCCTTGTCGTCGTGTGTGTGGTTTTCTTTGTAGCAAAAATGTCCTCTAACACTATTTCCACCTGCCAATCTCCTGCTTACTCAAATGTTTATGCTCCTTAAAATCTTTTCTGGAGGGAGTGGTGGCATAAATAGCCATAGACACTGGGCGAGTACTCATTTTTTTCTTATAAAGTAACTGCTAAATATGTGTTTGAGTTTAAATCTATATATTGGTATTTGCTTTCCATTTGTTGGTTTGTACTGTGTTTCTTTTCTTCTTCCTTTTGAATTGTTTGAACATTTTTAAT